TGGTACTATATTCCTTTTCATAAAGGCCAGCTTCCCAAATGATTTGTTCTGCATATATACCTTTTTCTAAGCAATTATTGACCTGAAAGGACCTTGAAGTTGGTGTCTAGTTATGTCCCTTTTGTCACCAGGGCATAACTTGCAGGCTAGCAATTAGAGGTCATTGAAGATATCTTAACTTTTTTCTCTGAGTTAGAAAAGGTAAAAGTGTATTTCATGAAGATGAGGTTTCTCTATAATTTCTGTTTCTAGAGCAAGAAGTGTTAAAATAAAACATCCTATTTACCATCCACAGCAGTACTGAAGTCACTATATTTTATGGTTAATAAAAAACTTAGGTGAAAAAGTTTACAAAGGTTAAAATTGCAAAACAGAATATGAATCAAGTTCTTGTGACTTTTCAGTCCATTTGCTTTCACTAGTTTCCTTCCTTTGTGCATTTCCTAGTCTTTATTTCTATCCTCTTTATCCCCTTCTTTTAATTTCTTACATAAAAAGTGTTCTTCATCTTCATAAAATGAAGTATTTTTAAAACCTAGAAGTTAAAGAAATGGATCGGCAAAGCCTTTTGGGTAAAGATCTATAAATTCACATAACATTTAAAAGATCATTACTAGAACATTAGGGAGCTTAGAAGACTAGTGGTAAGAATTTGCCCTGCTGCTAACCCTGAGTTTCTCAGTTTGACTCCACCAGCTGCTCCACAGGAGGAAGATGGGAATTCTCCTGTGTAATTTACTCAAAAAGTGCACTGGAGGGTCAGCTGTGAGTCATTTCTTTTTTTTTTTTTAAGTTTATATCTTAGGCATTGCCCTTCATTTAAAAAAAAAAAGACTCTTGTTTAAATGTCATTAAATATCAAGTGTTACTAAGATTCAGCTGCTTTTATAACTTTTGAACTTAAATCTGGTATGAAGAGATGAGCTTCCATCAAAACAGTTCAAAGCAAACAAGAAAAATACAATTTGTCTTGATCACAATAAATTAAATGTGTTAGAAAAATACAAAAACATTGCAAAGATACAGGGAATTCTGGTGGTCTACTGGTGGATGGGGACTTCTGCGGCTAACCCAACGCTGGTGCCTCTTTGGTGGTTTGTGAGTCATTTCTGACTTAATGGCACACAGCAACAACAGCTAGAACATTAGGGAGCTCATGTGGCTTAGTAGTAAGATGTTTAGCTGCCAACCTAAAGATAAGTGGTTTGGGTTGGGGGGGCGTGTTCCCCCTTCTCAATTTTTTTTTCTCTACTGGTTTATTTACAAAACTCGAATACAAATTCTTTCAATTTCTCTCACTCCCCCAACCATCAAATTGTACAATCCAATGATTAATCCCCCCCCCTCTGTCTGTACATCCACATCCCTCTGCTTCCAGCCTCCCCCATCCCTCCTGGATCCTTATACTCATTCTACAATAATGGTTTTCTACAAGATCTATCCTTGTGGGACTGAGTACTTCACTCAGCATAATGCTCTCCAGTCCCTCCAAGTTAAGTAATAACTTACAAAGTTATTGCTCCTGCGTGCTACATAGTATCCCATTGTGTGAATATACTAAAATTTCTCAGTCCATTAATTTGTGTTTGGACACTTGGGCTGTTTCCATGTTCTTGCGATGGTGAATAATGCTGCTATGAACATTGGTGTACAAGACAGTTGGTTTGAATACACCAGCTGCTCTGTGGGAGAAAGATGAGCAGTTGCCTCATGTGTGATTTACCACATCTGAAAAACCCACTGTAGGGTCAGCTGTGAATTGATTTTGACTTGACGGTATGTAACAATAACACTTTTACATTATTTTTTAAATTTACTGATAAGTGAATTATTGAATGTGTTGTTGTTATGTGCTATCAAGTTGGCTGTGGCTTATAGCGACCCTATGTACAGTAGCTTTGAACCCTGCCTTGTCCCGAGCCATTATCCCAGTTACTGTATCAATCCATCTCATCCAGGGTCTTCCTCTCCTGTGCTGTTGTCCTTCTGCCCTTATGAACATGATGTACTTCCCCAAGAATCAGTCCCTCCTGGCCACATGCCCAAAGAATGTGAGACGTAGCTTCAATATCCTAGCCTCCAAGGAGAAACTTGGTTTCACTCTCGCCGTGACAGACCTATTTGTTTTCTTGGCACCCCATGGTATGTGTGAGACATCCTTAATATGTATTATTATGGAACCATTAAAAAGAATTAATTCATTGGCGTAGGCTGTTGGGGAGCTCTAGTGGTATAGTGGCAAGAAGCTGCACTGCAATCCTGAGGGTACATGGTTTGACGCCACCAGCTGCTCCGCGGGAGGATGGGCAGTTTCCTTCCCTGAAATTAACTGCTTCTGAAAACACACCTGAGAGTCAGCTATATGTCAGATCTAACTTGACAGTACACAACAACAACAATAGGCTGTTAGGTGTCGCCTGTACTCTTTTCTCTTACAAGGTGGTGGTGTTATGTGCCATCCAATAACTATGACTCATAGCGACCCTATGAAGAATAGCTCTGAACCTTGCCCTATCCTGAACCGACCTCACCATCTCTGACTACCTGCCCATAGTAAGTATTATGAATTCCAGTTTATCTCCTCTCTAGACAAAACATGCACTTACGGTTTCATTTTTGTCATTCTGGCACTGAGCATGGGTTCTGCCACTGTTTATTTGTTCCACACTTGAATGCTGCAGACCTCATGTCCTACCTTTATGGATCTTTGTATCATAACTTGAAAAAGATTTCTTGTTCAAATTTTATAGATAAAGACGAGCCATTTTTGTCTTTAGCAGAATAGGAAAAAAATCTTTCTCTGGGGTTGTATATCTCTGAGTGAGAAAGATAAGGCAGATATGTTTTACTTGATTCTTAAAATGATCTATGCTTTGATCAGAAGATTGTGTATCTGAAGACTGATGTCTTGATAAATAATTATATAATCTCTGTAATTTTTATTGATATCTACATTTTGCCATTTTAAATTATGGAACATTGTTATTTAAATTCTTATGGTCAGGACAGTTATTTGTAGACTATCAGAATTCAGAGTGGAACTGCAGTGGTTATTAAATCTTGATTATAGGGTTATAGTTATAGGTAGGTGTAATCAAAACAACTGATAATGTTGGCTTGCTTACAATAAGTGTGCCAAGTATATAAAATATCAGACAATGGGAACCATCCAAAGGAGCTCTGGTGGTGCAATCTGTAAGTGGTGCACCACTAACCCACAGGCTGAATCTTGCCGCCAGTTTGAATCCAGTAGTTCCTCTGGAGAAAGATGGGCAATATATTCTCCTGTGCTATTTATAGCCTTAGAAACTCTCTGGAGGATCAGCTATGAGTTGGTTCTGACAGCAATGGGGGAGAAAGAGGAACCAAAAAGTGCCAGGGAAGTGTTAACTTTGATATTTTGGGCTAGTTAAGAGCTTCCTCCACCCCAAACTACTCATAAGTAGTTGAAAACTAGCCAGTCAAAGATCAGGGCACTTGTGAGGTTCAGAAAGAGTAGAATAAATGGTACATTATTGGGAATGATTTTTACAGTATTTAATAAGAGACATTTGCCTTTTAAAAAGTAACAGGGTTGCTAATAAACACTGCAGAAAATGGAAATGTCACCTGTTTGATTGAATGATAAGAGCACAAATTATACCCTATCACACCAGGATGTTACAGCTCTTTGTTTCTGAAGAATTCTGCTGAGATGTTAGCTTTTCCATTCTGTCTACACTTACCAAAGACATATTTGAGAGGTAAATTATTTATAGCGATGAACAGAGGAGGGTGTGTCATTATTTTTGTTACTATGGCTAAAAGGTGTTGGAGAAGAATATTGAATATACCATCGACTGCTAAGAAAACGAAAGGTTCGGACTAGAGAGGGTTAAACCAGGCTGCTCCTTGGCAGCAAGGATTCTGAAGCTTCATCTGGCATATTTTGGACATGTTGCAAGGAGGAACCAATCCTTGGAGAGGGATGTCATGCTTGCGAGGGTGGCGGGACAGTGCAGGAGAGGAAGACCCTCTATGAGGTGGGTTGATTTAGTGACTGGGGTAATCGGAGTAGGTGTCTCAGAGATAGTGAGACTGGCACAGGATAGAGCAGGATTTAGGGCTGTTGTACATAGGGTCGCTGAATCACAGGAGACTCGATGGTATATAACAACAACAACATGGCTAAGTATTTTTTACTTTTTAGTACTGTTTCAGTCCTTTTAATGGTAATAATTTTATTTTCTCAATAGTCTCTTTCTCAGTAGAAAGTACTTTACAATCACATAACAAATTATATAATACATAGTTTATTTTTCCTAATACAATTATTTGTAAAACGGAATTTTATTGATATTGTAGACTTGAGAATGGATCATTATTAGCTGTGAAAGTAAACTGGGTTTTTTTCAGCAAGCATTTTATTCCTGGTGAAGCAAAAAACAAATGTGTCTTTTTAAAAAATTAATTATTCTAGAAACTTAATTAATCAATACTGGTAGTTTTTAACTTATTTTCTTATTATGACAGATTTAATGAATAAGTTTATGAAAATAGGGTGTATTTATTTGCAGTTTCCAAATGGTTTACTTCTGTAAATTTTATTGCATAACAAACTGCTAATTTGAATTACCCAATAAAATCATCTAAATATGATAAAAAATCATATAATATAAATAGCATATAAATATAATAAAAATCATAAGCACACAGTGGCTAAATTAAAAACAACATCAAAGGTTTCAATTCTATAAGGGATCCCTCTCTTGTCTCTTTTTGGTCATTATAACTTTTTTACTCTCTCTCCCCTAACCCTTCTTTCTTCAAGGCTCTGTAAACTGCATTCTGTAGGTAATGATGCAGATGCTCACAATAAAAAAACAATGAGGCAAAAGACCTTTAAAAGACTCAAAGAACATTCAGCCTCTCCTAATTCACTGCATGCTCCTCAAGTCATAACTGGTTTTCTTAGCTTAGGCTTCCATTCTGATATTTTTCTCTCTGTGTCTCTTTCATAGTGGCCTTAAACCCGAATGGCTGGACAATGTGCAGAAAAGTGGAGAACTGTTTTATTTGGAATTGAGTGAGGATGAAGAAAAAAGCCTCCTTCCCGAGACACCTACAGTGAATCATGTGAGGTTCAGTGAAAATGAAATTATTATTGAAGAGGAGGATTACAAAGAAGGGAAAAAATATGAACCCAAACTCAAGCAGTTTACCAAAATTCTAAAAAGCAAAAGACTTTTACCCAAGCGCCATAATAAAAAAAATATCAGTGCCACTGAGCCAGTGTCCATTCTAAAACATCAGTCCAATCAGAAAACAGGAGTCATTGTCCAGCAGCGGTTCAAAGATGTGAATGTTTATATAAACCCCAAAAAGCTAACTGTCACCAAAGCCAAAGAACACCTCAAGCTTCTGGAAGTACTAGTTGGGATTATTCATCAGACCAAATGGAGCTGGAGAAGGACTGGGAAACAGGGCAGTGGAGAGAGGCTTGTGGTTCATGGCCTGCTGCCTGGAGGATCTGCTATGAAGAGTGGTCAGATACTAATCGGTAGGTGTTGCTGGTGAACATCTGTCTTTATTTGCAGAAATAAAAGAAAATTATAGTACTTGATGTGCTAAGCAAAATTATGTACAGTCTCAAAGACTAATTGACAGTACTTAGGGCCATGGTAAAATTGTTAAGGATGGTGTGCTCCAAGCCTCCTAAAATAAGCATGTAATGTGCTGAATATGTGTCTGCCTTGGCCAGACCACAGAATAGCTTAACTAATTAAACCTTTCAAGATTTGACTTATATAATTTTATTTTATCTTGGTTATATTTACCAACAAGAAAAGAATAATAAATTTATTGTACAGTGTAATTTAGGTTTTAATGCCCTATGTCTAATAACATGATAGAAAAATACACAATTTATGAATAAAAATACTTTTATATATTTATCCTTGAATATGCTAAATTTTGGGGGTGGTTTTAAACTGTCTTGTCTGACATGTTTTGCAGTAGTATTTTATACACAAATTTGTTTTAAGGGTGCTTCATGTAAACTGTTGAGTAAGTTGGTAACTGTCCTGTTATTCAGTTAAAGGTAAAATAAGAGGGTTTGGTGGTATAATATATGGCATAATATATCAACTGCTAAGCAGAATTCAGTAGCTCAAATCTATCAACTGCTCCTCAGAAAGAAAAAAAATGAGCAAACTTGTCCTCTATAAAGATTTATAGCCTCAGAAGCCTATTGGAGGCCCTCTGTGAGTCAGAATCTCCTCAGGCAGGAACCTTCAGACACTTAAGTTGTAGATTACCTTGGTACCAGTCTTACTGGACAGTTAAATTAGTCAAGTATAAGGATATTTATGATTCTTTAAAGTTATGACTAGTTCCAAAAGTTTGTTATGTTGACCCAGTTTACATGTCTGTTAAAGGTATTGTACATACTGTGTAGAAATACTTAGCTTTTGAGAATATTAAAGGCTATTACACATACTGACAGCTTTAGTTTGCTTGGCTCCACAATCAAAACTCTTGGCACCAGCAGCCAGGAAATGAAAAGACATAGTCTGATGAGGAAGTCTGCTGTTAGAGACCTCTCCAAAGTACTGAAGAGCAGTGATGTCAGTCTGGAGACTAAGGTGCACCTGAAACAGGCCATTTCTTTGCAATCACTCACTATGCATCAGAGAGCTAGACAGTGACTACGGAGGATAGAAGGAGAATTGATGCCTTTGAGCTGTGGTGTTAGAGAAGAACTGTGGTGTTGGAGAAGAGTATTGAATATACCATGGCCATGGACTGCTAAGAGAATGAACAGATTCATCCTAAACCACGCTGCTCCTTGGAGGCAAGGATTCTGAAGCTTCGTCTGACATACTTTGGACATGTGGCAAGAAGGGACCAGTCCTTGGAGTGGGACATCATGATTGGGAGGGTAGAAGGGACAGCACAAGAGAGGAAGACCCTTGATGAGATGGATTGATTCAGTGGGGTAATGAGGGTAGGTGTGTTGGAGACAGTGAGATTGGTACAGGATAGAGCAGGGTTTAGGGCTGTTGTACATAGCATCATTATGAGTCACAGGTGACTCGATGGCACATAACATTATATATACTGTAGAGAAACATTTAAAAAGATAAATTTCTAAGTCTGAGTTCCATTTGGTTTTCTCAGTGATTTAATGAGTTTTTTAAACATTTGCTAAGCACTAGGAATACAAAGATTATTATAGTAATTATTCCAATTATTCCTGTAATGGAGCTCATATTTCATAGTTCAAGGGATGGTTCATAAATAAAGTGTTTCAGAGGCATTTGAACCATGTACCTTCAGGATTGCAGTACAGTACGAAAGCCACCAGAGCTCCCTCACCAGAGCTGGCCTATAGGATAGCATTATATTCTTTTGATAGACACAGTCCAGTCCATAATAACCGGATTAGTATAAAAAGTCTCTATAGTTTTTATTTTAGTTATATAAAGGAGGTCAGGATTCCTCCTTATAAATACTGCCTATTATTTCTGACTGTCATAGTTTTAGGATCCCATGTGATGGAATACTTTAGCTAAATTAATTCTTTTTGTGCTTGGTTCTCTATTCCACATGCCAGTGTGAACTGTGTCATAGACAAAATTTATTTTACTCTTTTCTCATGAAACTTAATAGAGAGGCTGGAATGACCAGTAAGATTCCAATTCCATGATTCCATTCCTTTGATCCTTCCATCTGAGAAAGTATCTAGGAATGAGAGTTACTTCATTTGTTGCTATTAGGTGCTTTTGATTCCAACATAGAGTAACGTATATACAACAGAGTGAAATACTTCTAATCTTATTCCATCCTCACAGTTGTTGGCATCTTTGAGCCTGTTGTTGTAGTCATGATACCAGTTTGTTTCTTTCAGAGTCGGCCCTTTTCCGCCCCCCCGACCTTCTACTTAACCAAGAAAAATGCCCTTTTCCAAGTCCCTCCTGATAACTTGTTCAAAGTACATTAGATAAAATTGTACTATCTTTTGTTTCCAAGGAACATTTTAACTGTACCTTTTCCAAGACAGTTTTTATTCTTCTGGCAGTTTATAGTATATTTGATATTTATTCTTCACTAACACCATAATTCAAGACATTAATTTTTTTCCAGTCTTCCTTACTCATTGTCCAGCTTTCCCATGTGTATGACGCATTTGAAAATACCATATCTTGAACCAAGCACCTTACTCCTCAAAGTGACATGTTGTTCTTTAACATTTTACAAAATTAAATACTGTGTAGTAGATTTATTCAAATGTGGTATGTCATTTGATTTCTTAACTGCTGCTTCCATAGGTGTTAATTGTGGATTCAAGTAAAAGGAAATCTAATGAGATGAATAGACACAGACAGTGGCAGTGTATTTCTGATGCTAAAACCTAGTGATAATTTGACATTACCTTTAATTATACCATCAAAATCAGTTTCCACTTTAGCACTGATTCTTATTTCATTAAAGCCTCCAATTTAGATAAACCTAACATATTTAAAGAAAAAAATAGGCTTTTACTAACCATACTGTGGGTCTTGTTATGGTTGAGACTTTGAAACAAATAGCCGAGCATTAAATCAGTAATAAAAGTGTATGCCACAAGGTATTGAATTGTTATGTATCACATAGATTTAATTACAATTTGAGCTTAACTGTTAAATTTTATTTTTATTGTGGGACTAAGCTGTTAGATTTAATTTTGTTAAGTGCGGTATTTGGTTTATGCTACAAATTTTCCATTTGTCCTTTGGGTTTATATAATTCCTTCAGTTGTACCAAAAATGGAAATACACATTGCCTAAAATAGTCATAGGTTGTGTTTAGCCATTCCTCATAGCTTTGAGGAAGGGTGAATTTGTGAGCCTTGCTCTACCACTAATAAGATGTGTTATTTGGACAGGTCCCTAGTACCACATTTTCCACTCTGTTTTGAAAAGATTAGATCAGAATAGATATGTTTAATCTTCTATCTCTTTAGCCTTTAGACAGTCACACAATTATAATTTATTTTTTTTCTCTTTTAGGTGATGTCCTTGTTGCTGTGAATGATGTTGATGTGACCACTGAGAACATAGAAAGGGTTCTGTCTTGTATTCCAGGACCGATGCAGGTCTGCACATATTTTTTTCCTTGTTTTTTTATGATGAGTTACATAAAGTAAATGCATCTTTCACATAAATCTTTTTAGGGTTTTTAAAATTATCATGTATAATAGATGAGTTGCTTACTTTTGCACTTGGACCTTTAAAAAATTTTAGCTTTTGCAAACATTTTTCCCTTTTAAAGTTGGTGCCAAGAGAGAATTACATAAAAACAAAATTTATTCTAAGCAAAAAACAACAATTAAAAAAAATAAAAACAAAACAAAAAACCCACATCTGATGACTAACTTACCATCATAACTACCATATGTACCGAGGAAAATTCACTTCCTAGAAAAGTCAGTTTAAACAGTCACAGAATTTTCTGTTTTCTGACTTATTCAATCTCTGTTCTTTCAAAGTGTGACTTTATTTTTAAAACTACTCATACTGTTTCTTAATATTACGTTATCTAGTTTATCCCTTCTAATGACCTTTTGTCTAGCCATTTAATGAGCTTTTTTCCCCTTTTCATTCTTTGTAGGTAAGAATAAATCTTTTCTTTCTTAAGCAGCTATTTTGATATTCTAAACTTTGGTGTGTTATATCATGAATGACATTTTTAGGTCATTATATGCATTGTAGAAGTGTTTCTAATTTCTATTTATGAATACTCTTGCTAGCATAAAAAATTAACTTCCTCCCCTTTAGGGAGTAGAAGAGTGAAATACTGTAGATAAATCAGAGTGCCAGTCAGGCAGTGAGGGGATGTGGCAGGGTTTGGATTGACCAGGAAGAAAAATAGAATCCCTAGTAAATCTTATCTGCATGAGGTTTCAGTTACTGAAATAATAGGACCCATGAAGAAATTTCTTCTCAGAAATAAGATGATTCTCCTAATACTTCTTTTCCTTAAAATAATAAATTAAGTAAATGTGAATTTACCTTTCTTTAGAAGTAGAGAATGAAGGCCGGAGAGTAACTATGATGGCCCATGACCATGCATTACTAGGATTGGGAAGAGAAATGTAAACAGAGACAGGAATGTTCTTAGAAATGTTCAGCAATCAGGTGCACCCACATCATAGTACAGGAGCAGTGTGTGCTGTTTTCCTCCTTTAGTTACTAAGTATGGAGAGGTCTTAGGATTAAATCCAAATACTAGGGCACCAAGGGGCATTAAACAGCAACTACTTACCAATTAGTAAATTAAAATTTTCACAAACAGCTGCACCCATGTAAACTGATTAAGCATTAGCCCTAAGTAAGTGGAAGTATCTCCTACTTAAGTTTAATTATCATTTCAGAATTTAGCTATGCACACTTGGCAGAAAAAAAGAGACGAAATGAATAATGATTTAAATATTTCAGAACAATTCCACCCACCGTTTACTTGTAAGAGCCATGTATCTGCAGTTTAGCTTCTAGCATGAGCATCTTGCTGCAGGAAGTGTGATTCTGAAGATTAAAGATACTTATTTCTTTATACAATGTGATTCTTAAGCACCGGTACTTACACTGAAAGTAAGGATCAGAAACAATCTTTGGATTTCTTGAATTGAGAGAATATGTTAGTCCCCATTGAGATTTTCCCTTTTTAATGTCATTTCGGGGGGCGTGTGTGTGTGTGTGTGAAATTATGAACAGTTTTAGAATATATCCCTTTCATAAGACATTTTATTAAAATCTTTATTATATAAAACCAAAGTCTAAGTTTTCTTATAAAAATAATACATGTAAAATAATTTAATACATGCATTGTAAAAGTTTAGAAAATACAAAAACCAAGGGAAATTGTGTTCTGGTGTCCTAATGGTAAGAAGCTGTACTTCGGGGAGTTCTGGTGGCCAAGTGGCAAGAAGCTGCACTGCAATCCAGAGAGGTTCACAGTTCGAATCCACCAGATGCTCTGCTGGAGGAGGAAGGGCAGTCTCCTCCTGTACCAGTCAGATTTCATTTGATGATATGCACGCGCGCACACGCACGCACCCCCAAGCAAAAAAAAATGTGTTTAAGAAAAAAACCAAACAAAATACAAAGAAGCTGTGCTGGAATCCCGAAGGTATGCACCAGCTGCTTCCGCGAGAGAAGGAACAATCTCCTCTTGTATAGTTAACTGCCTCTGAAATCCCTCTGGAGGATCAGCTATGGGGTCAGTTCGGACTCAGTAGTACACGACAACAACAAGGGACAAAAAGCTCATAGACTTACACAACCTTAAGATATCTGTTAACATTTTAGAATATTTCATTCTTATTTCCCCCTAGAATATAAATATATATTCACTCTGTGTGTGTGTGAGAGAGAGAGAGAGAGATATTAGCACAACTGGTATCTTGTGCCATACTCAAAAAAGCACCAGCATTTAGAGCACTATATTGTTGTTGTTGTTATGTGCTGTCGAGTCTTTGACAACTCATAGCGACCCTATGTACAACAGCCCTAAACCCTGCTCTGTCCTGTGCCAGTCGCACTGTCTCCGACACACCCATCCTGATTACCCCAGTCACTGAATCAATCCACCTCATAGAGGGCCTTCCCCTTCTGCGCCTGTCTTCCACCCTCCCAAGCATGATGTCCCTCTCCAAGGACCGGTCTCTCCTTACAACATGACCAAAGTATGTCAGATGAGCCTCAGAATCTTTGCCTCTAAGGAGCAGCCTGGTTTAACCCTCTCCAGGATGAATCTTAGCAGTCCATGGTACCCTCAATACTCTTCTCCAGCACCACAGCTCAAAGGCATCAATTCTTCTTCTATCATCCCTTGTCATTGTCCAACTCTCTGCTGCATAACAAGTGATTGCAATGACCATGGCGTGTATCAGACGCAGCTTAGTTTCCAGAGAGACACCATTGCTCCTCAGTACTTTCGAGAGGTCCCTAATAGCAGACTTTCCCATCGCAATATGTCTTTTAATTTCCTGGCTGCTGGTGCTAAGAATGTTGACTGTAGAGCCAAGAAAACTAGAGCTGTGAACAATCTCAATCATCATAATAGAAAAAATTCCTCTGCATAGAAACTGCATTTAATTCATAAACCTTATTGTTACCACTCAAAAAGTGGAAGAAACAAACTTTTCACTACCAGCAATTTTCTCAAACCATGTAAACTCAGATTGGAGTAAAAAAGTTCATTTTGGAGTAATAGTATTTAATAATTTCATTAATCTTCATAACATTCTATACTATTTTGATAAAAAATACTACTAATATTTAGAAGCAGGAGTGGCATCCACTTCCTAAATAGCATGCCTCCAGAAACTATTAACTTTTATAAATGTCGGTAATTGTACAGGGACTTTAGGCCTTTTGTTCATAGGGTTTTTAAGAGTCATGCTTGACTCAAAACAATCAACAACAACATTTGATAGGAAAACATCAGCTGCTTCTTGCATGGGCCCACAGTTAACACCCTTGGTATGAGTAGACAAGAAATAATGAGACACATTACAAAGGGAAAATCGGCAGTAAGGGACCTTTCCAAATTATTGAAGAGTAGTGATGTCAGTTTGAGGACTGAGGTGCATCTGATTCAGGTCATGGTCTTTCCGATTACTTACTATTGCATCCAAGACCTGCACAATAAATAAGGATGACAGAAAAAGAATTGATGCCTTTGAGTTGTGGTATTGGAGAAGAACACTGAACATCCCACTGATGGCCAAAAGAATGAATAGATATGTCTTGGAGCAGGTACAGCCAGAGTGCCCTTTGTAGGCAAAAATGATGAGGCTTCACCTAACATACTTTGGACATATTGCTAGGAGGTCCTATTCCTTTGAGAGGGATATGATGTTGTAAGAGTGGAGGGTTAGTGAAGGAGAACAAGACTCTCAGCCAGGTAGATTGACAAAGTGACTGCTGCAATGGGTTCTTGTGTGTCAGGAAGTGTGAGGATGGCGCAGGACAGGACTAGGTTCAGTCTTTTGTTCATATGGTTGTTGTGAGTTGTACTGGACTCAATAGCACCTAACAACAAGAACAAAAATATTTTATAATAAATATTCTTATAACATGGAGAAAATTCACCCGGCCAGAGAGGGGAGACGGGAAGCTGCACTGGGGAAGGTCACCTCCGATAACAGCAAAGAGGCGTCTTTCAGGTAAAACCCAGGAAAAACCGGCCAGAGAGGGGAGACAGGAAGCTGCACTGGGGAAGGTCACCTCGGATAACAACAAAGAGGTGTCTTTCAGGTAAAACCCAGGAAAAAGCGGCGGGCCCGAGGGCAGAAGGGAAAACATACTCTACACAGGAGTTTTACAGGACACGTCACCTTCCC